GAAATGCAAAGTGTAACAACTCTGCTTTTGATACAAATTGCTACTGTACTTATTCTGAACCTAAGCTTTCCTGCCGGCTTGGTCCACTGTTTGAACCACAGTCCAGCGTTTCAAAAGGCTTATATTGCAACATTTTATTTCTGTATGTAGGGGTACTGTTGCAAAACTTTCCCAGTCTTTCTATATCAGCTTGCAAGCTCAGAGCAAGAGCACCTGATTTTCAAAAAAACAGGCCCCATGTTCAATTTCTGACATGTCTAATATAAAGTAATCTGGTACAAATTGATATGGAAGTGCTGTGTCTAAGACCCTGAGGAAAACTGCTGCTAAGTTTAGAAATACACACACAAATATGAGATGCCAATTCCTTCTAGAAGAAACCACTTCTAGAAGGAAGGCTGACAGGACTCTCCTGGATATCCCAGTAACCAGGAAGGAATCTAGAGAAGAAAGTCAGCAGGTAATAAATCTTCCCTCTCCCATTCTACATATGATGCCCGGACCATCTCTCTTTAATATTACAGCAAGAAAAATAAAGCAGGGAATTCTCCTTTAATGTCTGGCTTGCAACTTGGAAATATTACTTTGTTAGACAAATACCAGAATCCCCCAAACGGCATAGCTGAGAGGGTAGCTGGGACTTGCAGTCCAAAAAAATTAACATTTCCAAACTCTGGTCTAGCTAATCCTCATCCCCATAGATTTTCTAGCCAGAGTATCTTTTAGAAGCAGCCCTATGGTGCCACCTTCAGGATGCATGACATGAATTTTCTCTTGGGAGCATCCTACAATGTTAATCTTAAAAAGGCTATAGTTGGAAATTTGGAGCCTAACAGAACTGAGGGCAAAAATTTCACAATTAGTCAAAATACTCTCTCCCTCCCTCTCTGTTTCCAAAGACAAACAACAACTCAATAACACATTCTCTCTTTTTCTGTTTCTAAACAACCAGGCTAATATTCTGGATAGCCACACTGACTCAGCAATGTGTGATTGCAATCACCCATGTACAGTAATTTACGACCTGTTTGGTGTTTAGTTCTGTTGAAGTCTGGTTTGTAAACATTTCCACAAGAGAAAGAATATAAAGCAAGAACTAAAAGGAGAGGGGTTTTTTTGTTGCATTGTAAAGACCAACTGTGAGCAGTACCATGATTAAGGGGGACAGCAGAAGAATAATGTGTGTTGGTACAGAGAATATTAACAGTTTTTTTCTTTGAGTTTGAGTCTTGTACTAAAGATGAGTCTAACAATTGTGGAGGAAAATAATGGAAGACAACAACATATTATATTTGGTAGTTAGTTAAGAAACATGTTGTGTTTAGTCGTTTAGTCGTGTCCGACTCTTCGTGACCCCATGGACCAGAGCACGCCAGACCCTCCTGTCTTCCACTGCCTCCCGGAGTTGGGTCAAATTCATGTTGGTAGCTTCAATGACACTGTCCATCCATCTTGTTCTCTGTTGTTCTCTTCTCCTCTTGCCTTCACACTTTCCCCAACATCAGGGTCTATTCCAGGGAGTCTTCTCTTCTCATGAGATGGCCAAAGTATTGGAGCCTCAGCTTCAGGATCTGTCTTTCCAGTGAGCAGTCCGGGTTGATTTCCTTCAGAATGGATAGGTTTGATCTCCTTGCAGTCCAGGGGACTCTCAAGATTCTCCTCCAGCACCACAATTCAAAAGCATCAGTTCTTTGGCAGGCAGCCTTCTTTATGGTCCAGCTCTCACTTCCATACATTGCTACTGGAAAAACCATAGCTTTGACTATGCGGACCTTTGTCAACAAGGTGATGTCTCTGCTTTTTAAGAAGCACAGACTTATATTAATTACATTATATTTTCAAACTATGCCTCCTGTAGTAATAAAAACAATTTCTAGTAATGTGAATAGGGCATCCAGAAAAGAGAATTTTTCCCTCCCAGATAAATCATAGCCTCTAAATATACAGCCTTCGTTGTTTTAAAAAGGGTCAAGCCCTTCTAGAAGCTTAGATGTACAACAATATGCACAGTTTCTATTCTAGCTGCCCATTTTGTAATTGACAAGTTTATCTCCATCTTTTAGGGGTTTTAATCCATGAAGTAATCTCAGTGATTGACACATCCAGTGTTTGGAGAAGGATTTCTTAATTCATTTTAAAGCCTTCCCTTGTGGGAACAAATTAACAGCAACCAAAAATTTTGAAGATTTTAGTGTAGTTGTGATTGATCTATAGTGTTTCCATACCAAAACAGAAGGGAGCAGCAAGGAAAAGCTGGTATCCATGATCTTTCTAATTCCAGTTTTATTTTAAGAGATGCTTAGTGAGTTAGGCGTCTGGCTGTGGAGCCAGAGATTGAGAATTTGATTGCCCACTGTGCCTCCCAGGAGGAAAGCCTGCAGATATAGCCTTGGGCAAGCTGCCCAGTTACAGCGGGCTCCCAGAAGAAGGGAATGGTAAACCACTTCAGAGTAATCTATACCCAGAAAACTCTGAAAGGGTCACCTTTTGACTTAACAGCACGTAATTATTATTTTTTATAAGTACTATCCTGAGATTCATTCATTCATTTATCCATCCATTCATATGCCGACATTCTCTTAAAGCAGCGGGCCCCAACATTTTTGGAACCATGGACCGGTTGGGGGGGTGTACCCCCGCACTCACGGATGCAGAGGGGCAAGTGCAACACACCCACCCACAAGCACAACACGCCCGCCGGGTGAGCGGAGATCTGTCTCCGCGGCCCAATTCTGGCAAGCCTACAGACCAGGAGTTGAGGACCCCTGTTTTAAAGGATCCAAGGTGGTTTACAGAATTAAAGAAACAAAGTTAAATAGCTAAAATAATAAATTTTTGAAATATTTGAAACAAAGATCAGATTAAAACTCGTAAACAAAAGCAATATTTAAAACACAAGTAAAACAACAGGATGCAATAATCCCTTTTTAAAATCCCCTTGGTCAACCAGTCATTTAAAGCAGGGGCTCCCAACCTTTTTGACATCAGGGACCGGTTTAGTTGAAGACCATTCTCCCAAGGATCAGTAGGGGTGGCGGGTGTCCATCTGTGCATGTGTGCAAGCTGTGTTCATGTTTGTGTTTGTGCAGGTGGGTCATGTGTGCATGGGTGTGCATGAGTACACAGCCCTCAAAAATCTGTTTCGGTGGCACAGTCCTTCCAAGGCCACAGACCAGTCCCAGTCTGTGGCCCAGGAGTTGGGGACCCCTGATTTAAAGGAAAGCATGCCTCAAGAGAAAGGTCTTTGCTTGCAGAAGGACAGCAAAGATGGGACCAGCTTCCCCCCCCTCCCCACACAGAGGGAGTTCCAGAATTTGAGAGCAGCAACAGAGAGGAACCTCTCCTTTGTCCCTACCAAATGTTTCTGTGAGGGTGATGGAACTGAAAGCAGCTGAGCCAACACTTAGCCAGCTGCTACTGCACTGAATCCCAACCCAGTTTAGTTTGGGGTGTGATCAGACACAACTTCAGCTCTCTCCTTGCTCTGCTCACTATTCAGCTCTTCTGCCAACAGATCTTAATCAGCCAAGAAATTCTGCAGGAAGATCCCTCTGTCAACAGATGTTCAGATTAGCTAGCTAAAGAAGTTATTATAGGTAAAAGCAAAATAAAAAGTAAAAAAACCTCACCAAGATATGGTGGCACCTTAAAGGCTTTATTTTTTTAATGTGAGCTTTCATGGACAAGTCGACTTCATCAGACATAAAATGGCTATCAGGCAGAAGAAGGTTCACCTGGCAGAAGAGGCTTATTCCTCATCCTGTTGCTACAGTGTCAGCAGCAGAAATGTAGTTTGGTACACATATTCAAAATCATTTATTTATACAAGGTGGTTCTAGAACAAATCAAGCCTGAATTCTGACTAGGAGGTAAAATAACTAAGTAAATATATATACATAAATTTAAAGAATATCATGAGGTAAAACTTACTGGGAAAGACTCTAATGTTAAGGAAAGTTGAAGGCAGTAAGACAAAAACCTAATATGAAATGGATTGACACCAACAAGAACACCGTGGTCCCCTCCTTGCCAGCAACACCTGAGCAGGGCTGTTGACTCATAGGGTTTTCATAAGTAGGAAGTGAGCTGATGACACATCATACCCACAAGTCACCTTCAGGGATTCTGTGGCTGAAACACAGGATAAAAATAAAATCATACTTTAAAAATAGGAACAGGGTGGGAACACAGAGAAAACAAAAAAACCTATTCTATACGATAAATATAAATAGATGTGTAGGTAATCTAAGTTGAAAGCACTTTACCATCACCTGTGAAAGACATTCTCCCATAGCTTTGCAGAGAGAATCAAAAGTCCTGCGAAGTCTTCAGTGGCTCTTTAACAGAAATTTAAGGAGCCACATTACTTTTGATTTAATTTTTGTATAGATGCTGAAACAAATTATCACTGCTACCTCACTGAAATCTTTAATAGATTTATTTTAGCATGATAAAGCTCTGAACGTCCTAGTTTCTAGATCTTTTCTATTTCCAGCCGATGTTATGCACAGTCTAGTTGCATCCAACCCATGGCGATCCTACAAATACCTGTTAGCAAAAGCTCGTATTATTCACAGCCATGTTCAAGACCCCGTGGCTTCCATGAGTCAATCCACCTCATCCCTGGTCTCTTCCTCTATTTCTACTGCCTTCAACTTTTTAAAGCTTTACTGTATTCTGTTCTCCAGGAGTCTTGTCTTCTCGTGATGGGCCCAGAATACCAGATCTCTATCTAGCAGCTCCCACTGAAGGAAATCTGAAACCCAGATTGGTTTCTGCTTTCGAGCCACACAAATGCCGCGTTGAACCCCCCCCCACCGGTCACGTGCGGTTAAACCCATACCCTTTCCCACTTCAACGCCGCCGCTGCACGTGCGGTTTGTTTTGATGAGGGAGAGCCGTTGGCGCGCCGGCGCGCTTGCGTAGACCCGCCGGCTGCTTCCTCCGAAGGGCGGGGCGAAGTGGGAGGAGCTATGTGCGCAGGCTCAGAGCGGCGCTTTTCCGTACGGCTTCGCTGAGGTGCTTTTCTGGCTCGCCCCCCGACTCCCCTCCTGCCCACTCCCT